CCAAGATGTGCTAATGGGTATTGGGCATGTGGCCAAAACTAGCAAAGTTTTGTTGTGTTTCTGAGAATCCATATAGCCCATTGACAGGGTGTATACAGATGGCCACAGTGGGGTCTCGGGGAAAATAAGGACTTTAGAAAGGGCTATGGCCAATGTTACAAGAGGTATCAGATAGCAGATGTGAGGTCCATCTGTCCCAGAATGAAACTTAAGAATATTGTTACTTATTGCTAAACCTCTGCTAGTAAATACTGATTTACAGCTGATTTATATGTCTGTGAAACTTGCAGATAGTTAGTTGTAATTACTCCAAATGTTTGTTTTATAAACATGTGCTGAAAGTTAAGTTGGGATCTGAGTATAACGCAGGCCAAGGAAAATATTCATTCTTCTGCTTTTCAGGAGAAGATTTTGCTGTTGTGCAGCAGGAAATCATTATGATGAAAGACTGTAAACATCCGAACATTGTTGCTTACTTTGGCAGCTATCTCAGGTACACTTTGTTTCTTTTGCTCCATTGAAAATGTGACTCTGTCTCCTTCTAAAGGACAGGTCTCTAAGGTGACTTAAGCAAAACATAATTTACCAAATAAGTATTATCTACTTGGTTTTTTTTTTTCATTTACCTTAAAATCTGCTCTATTTACTGCAGTTTGTATCTGAAAATGATCTTTCTCTTAGCAAAATTTTTCAGCGGCCGTGTAGTCATCTTCCCTTGCAAATGAGCTGACACTTAAAAGCTTTGAATTTAATAAAGAAATGGAAAATTAGGCAGAAGTACAAGTATAAAGAGTCTGTGTATGTAATATCTTTTAAATCTGTTTTTCTGACATATAAACTTCTGACCAGAATATGACAGTTCCATTTGTTTCTGGAGAGGAGACAGTTTGCATTGCAGAAACACTGACAAATGTATCCAGTTGTCTTACCAGCTGCTTCTTTTAACTAGTCATAGTGGGAACAGATTGCTTAATATAACTAATAAAAGGCTGTTTCTGATGATATTCTTAAGATTTCATGTGGAAACAGATTGTGAACAAATATTATTGTTGCATTCAACTTCCTTTAACACTTTAATATTGAAATGGTGCCTCTTCTCCTGATACTGTATTTAGGCTGGGGGTGCTTTTTCTTTGAAACGCAATTTCCCTCTTAGGGAATCAAAACATACCTTTGCAGACTCAGTATTAAATTTGGCAAACATGCTGTATATTTTGTCGCTCTTGCTTGGTTCCCTCCTTTGGTAGAGTGCTTCTCTTTTGTCTGGGCAATTGAATGACTGTCTTTGAGGCCTCTTGCTGACTGACCTTTTGTTTTCCAAACGTATTGCAGTGCTAAGAATAATAAGAAAAATACCTTGATCCTATACTTGCCATGATCCCATGGATTTCTTCTGTTTACATAGGGGTTTTTCAGACAGTTGGATTTCTGCCTTGCTGTTAGCCTAGGTGTTAAGTTGCAGACACAAAATAGTATTGTTGATTCTCTTTCTGGTTTGTTTGCTGCTCTTGCCACGTGCTCTGTAGAAACAGACGACTTTGTACACTGTTGCTGTTGGATGTTACATAGATTTTCACCTGTCTCAAAGTGTTTAGGCACAGTAATACAAAGGCTAGACAGCAAATTAGAAATGCAGTTTCTTCTTTGATCCTCTTGTGTCCTTTTTCTTTTGTGTAGGGCTTTTGCACACTGAGAAGTTAATACTCAGTAAGCAAAAGTGTGAATTTACAGCAATTACCTTGCATTATGTCTCTTACTTCATGGGTGCCCTGCTTCTGTCCTAAGACTGCTGGGATTTTTCTGGCTTTTTCCACTTCCATATTGCTGCTGCTGCTGGT